CGAGCTGCCCGGCAGGACGCCCATCTTCTGGCCGGGTGTGATGCAGAGCCCACCCTGGAGGGACGCGCGCCTCGCCTGCGCCCCCCGTGAGTACCCAGCGTCTCGGGGCAGCGTGGGGATCGGGCCCGAGGAGCCCCGCTGGGAGTCCGCTCCCAGTTGCTGGGATGCCCCCACGCCTCGGGCCCGGGCCGTGACCGAGGGGGCTGCCTTTGTCTCGCCCTTTTTTTTTCTTTTTTTCTTTTATTATTAAGTTTGCTTTGCTTTCTCCCTCCCCCTCGTTCGGCGCGAAACCCTGTAAAATGTCGGTTATTGCCGGCGGAAAGCGGAGCCTTCTCGGCCGCCTTCTGTTCTCACCGTCCCCGCTAGGAACGATTCGAGGCCGGGGCTGGTTGTTTTTTAGGTGCGCGCAAAAACTTTCCACGAGCAGGACTTTCTTTTACCTCCCGCTTGCACTGTGCAGCGTTTCTAGCAAACGATATCGTTTGTCCGCTCATACTTGGGATCCTTAAAGGAAGGATCCCTTAGGGGGCCTAGAGGAAAGCTGGGGAGGGACTTTTAACAAGGGCTTGCAGCGAAAGGACAGGGGGTCACGGATTAAAACTGGAAGAGAGGAGATTTAGATTGGACATTAGGAGGAAATTCTTCACTGGGAGGGTGTGAAGTTGCCCAGGGAAGTTGTGGACGCCCCCTCCCTGGAAGTGCTCAGGACCAGCTTGGATGGGGCTCTGAGCAACCTGGTCTAGTGGGAGGTGTCCCTGCCCATGCAGGGGGGTTGGAAATAGGTGATCTTTAAGGTCCCTTCCAACACAAACCATTCTATGATTCCATGAAGAATTATTTCGGGGCAGCCGCGAGGCTGGCGCTGCTGCGTTGTCCAAGCATCAGTTTTGTTACATACAGCCCCCCCTACCCCCTGCGGAGGGAAAGTCTCCGTCCCCAGGGCCGCGAAGCGCTTTCCCGAATCCGTAGATTAACGTGTATGTCCGTGCCTTCCCTTTCTCTCCCCCCCACGCCAGATCAAGGCTCAATTTTGCTGGATAAGGACGGAAAAAGAAAACATACCAGACCCACTTTTTCTGGCCAGCAGATTTTCGCCCTGGAAAAGACTTTCGAGCAGACGAAATACCTTGCGGGCCCGGAGCGAGCCCGGCTGGCCTATTCGCTGGGGATGACGGAGAGCCAAGTCAAGGTGAGGGGTGGGACTGCCGCACGGAGCGGTGCGGGGCTGGGGCAGCGCAAGTGCTTGGGCTGGGGAACAATAGGGCCCCGCCGCGGGATCCAGGTCCGTCTGGGGCGGCCGGAGATCCCTTCGTTATCTTACCGGTGGGGCTGTGAAGGGGATTTTAAAGTGTATTTTATTTAAAAAAACAACAACATACCCAAACAAACAAACAAACAAAAGCTAACAAAAAAACCCCCCAAAACCCAAAACCAACAAACAAAACCCCCAAACGACAACCAAAAAACGACCCAACCAAACAACTAACAACAAACAAAATCCCCACCAACTAAAAGAAACCAAACCAAATAAAACCCAAAAGCCCCTGAACTCAAACTGAACAGATACAAGCAGGACTGAGAAGCCCGGTGGGTTCAGCCCGAAGGCCACGGGGGTGGCAGCCCTGCTGGAGGGGCGCGAGGGTGGATGGGGGGAGGTGCCCCCGGCCCCACACAAAACCGCCTGGCACCTCTGGGCCGTTGAGCAGGATCGCTCACCCCGCTCGCACTGTCCTGCCCCAGACCTTTTCCGTTTTAGTTACACTCTGAGTTGTGGGCCAAGCAGAGGGGTGAGGGTTGGGGTGAGGGTTGGAAACCCAGGCTGAGGCCCCCGGGGATGCTCCGCGGGTGCAGGGACACGAGGCAGGCTCGGCCAGAGGGGCCTCTCGACCGTGCTCAGGCTTTCAGACTTATCCGGAGACCCTCCTTTGTCACTGCAAATATCTCAGGATGGCTGCGAATAAATTATTGCAGCCTCTACAATGAAAATACCCCTCTCCTCTGACAGCGCCCTGCCAAAGAGTAAATACATCTGGCGGGGCGGGCGAGACGGAGGAAGGATTTGTGCTTTGCCTCCCGGGCAGGAGGGCAGGAAGGGTCCTGGGACCGCTGCGGACCTCTGGGGGGAGGTGAGGGGGCTGGGGGAGGCTGTTCGGTGGCGCTGGGCGGGACCTGTGGCGGGACGGGTGGCTT